TGTCAGCAATGATAATTCCCTTGGTTTTGGCGTAATCCTTAGCCTTGGTGTAAAGGTCAAGGGCAATGCTAGCAATTCTGTCACACAATTCTTTGCCAACAATCTTCTCTGCTTGTTCTGGAGTGATGTTCTCATCATGCTCACCCTGCTCAGCCTTAGTGGAAGGTGTGAAGAGTGGAGTTGGAAGCTCCTGAGACTCCTGCAAGTCTTCCTCAATGGCAATACCGTGGATTGTCTTTGACTTCTTGTACTCCTTCCAAGCGGAGCCCGTCACATAGCCTCTGACAATAACTTCCAATGGAATCAATTCCATCTTCTTGACAAGCAATGATCTACCTTGCAACTGATCCTTGTACTTTGGCTCGGACAACTGAGGAGGTAAATGCTTGAAGATTTCTTCTTCATCAGAATGTGGTTCCAAAACCAAGTGGTTGTGGACCTGGTTGAACAAGAAGAAAAACCAAAACTCCGACAACTTGGTCAAAATCTTTCCTTTGTTGGTGATACCATTCTCCATAATGACATCGTACGCTGAAATTCTGTCAGTAGCGACGAAAAGAAGAGTGGTGGCATTGACTTCATAGATGTCTCTCACCTTACCTCTGTTGACGAGGGGCAAGATTCCGTCTAATTCTGTTGTATGGAGCGACATTGGGGAGTAAGGGTAAGTGTAGAGCTGTAATGGCCAGTGACTCCGATAGATGCACTCCCGTACACCAGATGAGATTAACGATTGTGGTCTTGACTCCCGCGCTATGTGGACAACGTTGCAGCCTTCGAGAGCATGGATTGCATGAAGAAGGTTAGATCATGTCGTTGTCTGTCCTTTCATTAAGACTAATTTTTACACCTAGCAAAATTCGTAAGGTTTTCGAAAGGTCAACTCGAAACTGTTCGTAGTTGTTTCAAAGATTGCGTCTCTTTTGAATTTATACTAACACATCGAAGAAGCATAATCTATCTCCAGGGTAATTTCTGATATTCTGCCGATTTTTTGTGTTCACATAATTTGTGGAGTCCCTCAGATATTGTATCATTTGGTAGATTTCGCAGCCAAGACATTCAATCCCCACGAAAAGTGTCTATTCCTGCGTCAGCCACATCCACAATTTATTTATCAGTTCCAAAGAAAATGAAGTTCAATTCGAGGACTCATTCATAATTAAAAGGAGCACCAAATAGTGATTCCATGATCAGAGACGTCGAAACTACTCCTAACAGTTAATGCGGCTTATGCGTCCTGAAGCAAAATGTGTAAGAGGATCGATTATGCAAGTTCAGTCACGTGCAATTGTTGCATTTTTTTTCAGTCCATATGCTTGCAAATAAATCGACCAAATCTTTAATTTCAATTCTTAGGTTTTCTCAACTTTCTTTTCCATATACTCGCTCAAAATGGCAACAAACATCACTTGGCACGAAAACTTGACTCACAGCGAACGTGCTGAATTTAGAAAGCAGAAGGGCGTTACCGTCTGGTTGACAGGTCTCTCAGCCAGTGGTAAGTCTACCATTGCCTGCGCCTTGGAGCAGACTCTCTTGCAGCGTGGGTTGAACTCTTACAGATTGGACGGTGACAATATCAGATTTGGTTTGAATAAAGATTTGGGATTCTCCGAAGCTGACAGAAACGAAAACATCAGAAGAATCAGCGAGGTTGCGAAATTGTTCACCGATTCTTGTTGTGTTACCTTGACTTCGTTCATCAGTCCTTACAAGAATGACAGACAAATTGCCAGGGAGTTGCACGAGCAATCGCAATTGCCATTTGTGGAGGTCTACGTTGATGTGCCAGTCGAGGTTGCTGAGAAGAGAGACCCCAAGGGCTTGTATAAGAAGGCCAGAGAGGGCGTCATTAAGGAATTCACTGGTATCTCTGCACCATATGAAGCCCCAGAGAAGCCTGAAATCCATTTGAAGAACTACGATGGCCAGACTGTTGAGGAGTCTGCCAAGGCCATTGCTGATTTCTTGATAGAAAAGAAGTACATCTAATCGTACATAGTCAACTTATTTATTTGAACAACATCTTACTTCTTCAAACTGTCCAACCTTGCCTGCAAGTCGTCCTCCTCCAGACCACCAGCGCCGCCATGGCCACCTATTGCCTCTGCAACTCTGGCATCCTGTTTACTGGGGCTTTCCACATTTATGGTGTTGGGTGTGTCCTTCAAGCTGGTATTGATGTCCACTCCAATTTCGTCTAGAACCTTTGTTAAAATTTCATCCACTTGCTCATCCTCACCCAATTCCTCATCGTCAGCCATGGCGTCATCTATAGCATCATCCATGAACTCTTGTTTCTGATCCATGAGATCATTCTCTTTAGCAAACTCTTGCGCAATTCTAGAAAGTTGAGGCAAGTTCATCGACCTGTTCATTCCCAGCAAAAGTCGAGTGGCATCTCTCATGGAACTTCCCATCTGTTGGTTGCTCCTGACGGACTGGATTCTCAACAGGATAGCCTGCAACTGTGCCTTCATCAGATTGAATTTAACAATGTAGTTCTTGGTTCTGACAAGATCCTTAGCCTGGATTTTGGCACTAGCAATCTGACCTTGCTTGGCCAGCTTTTTGATTTCCAGCATCAATGTCTTCTCCTGAGATTGTAGCTTATTAACCTCTCTAGTCAACTCCCTTTGTGTCTTCTCAAGAGCTCTTTGGTTTTTTCGAAGACGCTCTTGTGGAGTAAGCTTCTTGCCAAAGGCCCACTCAAATAGTGCTGACATAATGAGTGAAAGGATTCGGAGTAATAGATTTTGTTGATAAGACTCGGTGCTGTCAAGCTTTAAACGCCAGGCGATCAATATGCAGTCCAAAGCTTGGTAAGGGTAGGAAACTACAATTCAATTCTTTCTACAACTGAAAAAGGAAGGTACTCGTGACATGCGAAATTCATTACTGGTCAGATTCTAAGGGCTCGTTGAGCCTGGCTCTTTCTTCTGGGTCAGCCCTGTCTTGCTCACCAAGGAGTTGATACAACTTCTGTACCATATGTTCTGCGTCCTCGGTATTAACATCTTCCATGCCGTAGATGTAAATGGTGTAAATACCAAACACAGCAGCTAAGGCGCAAACCACAATGGCGACATAACCCTTTGCAGTGAATCCCGGAGGCAATGGCTTAAATTGAAGGTTCTCACCAGTGAGATCAAGCCACGAGGCCTCTGTTTCACCGAATCTTCCAGCAGCATTTCCTTTGACAGGAATTCCTAACTTCTCGCAAGCCTCACGGTGCGAGGGTGGGATTTCGCTTTGTTTCTGCTGAATCTTTTCGGGGTCTTCAACCAATACAATGGCCAATCCCTGTTCCAAATGCCAATCAACGTGACAATGGAAAAACCAGACACCAGGGTTGTCAGCCTTAAATCTAAGCTTGACAAATCCATTTGAGTTTACCATAACAGTATCTCTCTGCATTGGGTACTCTGGGTGCTTGTTGTAGTCATCATTCGATGGGTCATAGACTTCAGGGTTGTCAGCATCTTCCGTTCCTTCGGAACGGAAAATTGTTTGGAAGACATGTCCATGTAAGTGGAACGGATGTTTACCATCGTCCATATTGTTCAACACTATCTCAACAATCTCGCCTGGCTGCAAAACGTGAGTGTTTGTATTAGATCCGTAGATGGCAACATTGTTGGCAAACTCACCAGCGGAGAGGACGGAGAAGAGTGTTGGGACTTTTGGAGCTGTATAAGTAACTCCATTGAACAATGCGTAATTGACACCATCACCCAAATTATCCATAGTGAAATTGAGAACAATCTGGACATCGTGATCTGGATAAATCTTCTTTCTCAGCAAGGGAATCAAATCGAAATCATCAAATGGATTTAAAGAGGCTTCGAGCTTGTCAAATTTACCCTTGCCATTAGCCAATGGCTCAGGTTTCTTCACATCACCGTGGCCGTATTGCAAGTAGTTTGTGGAGATAACCTGGAGATCGTCAGGTACTAAATCAAGCATAGGCTCATCGAAGGCATTTACTATGCGGAAAGCCTTGTCTTTGATGTCTTTTTTCGTCTTCACGAGAACACCGTAACGCTGAGCAACAGTGATATAAAGCGACTCAGTCTCAACTGGCTCAACATATACACCGTCAACTTCGACAATCGTAAATGTGTGATCCTCGATGTAGAAGTACTGACTGACAAACATGCCCATGTTCACAATTCTTAAGAAATAGGTTTTGTCAGTCTCAACATTCCAGGTAACATTTCTTGTATCGTTGAACAAAGAGTTCTGGGGAATGGGCTCGGCACCGGTTGGGTTGTATCTCGACAAGAACTTCGACATGATGTCTTTGCTTTCGGCGTGATAATAGTCAGTGATACTAAGTGGTACTTCTTCATCAAAAGAAAAAGGATAGTCTTCAACTTTCTCCTCTTCAATGATGAACATACCACGAAGACCATCGCTGTACTGAGAACCGGAGTGGGAATGGTACCAGTAAGTTCCTACCTGATCACCCACGTTGAAGTCGTATGTGAATGAGTGTCCTGGAGGAATAGGACACTGAGTGACCCATTCTGGGCCGTCCATGGCGTTATTGTCCGTCATGAACAAGCCATGAAAATGCAAGGAAGTATTGCGGTCGGTCATGGAATTTGTGAGGTGGATCTTGACTCTGTCATTCTTTGCCACTCGAATTATTGGTAAAGGCCACTGTCCGTTTATTCCGATGACCTCTCTTTCGTAGACACCATCAGGATTGTGCTTGATAAGGGCAACATCGAAGTTGTACTCATGTGTCTTTGCCAATGCCAGACCAGCCAATGTCAAGAGCCAGAAGAAACTCCAGAGCATTTTATATAGACCTTGATACATTTGTATATGGACTAAAAGTGGTAAAAACGAAGTGTTTTATATATAAGTAACTGGCACTATAACTAGTTTTTTCCGAGTCTAGGACTTGGCATTGTAGCCGTTCCATCAGCCACCTCCGTGCACCGGAGATCACGATACACCGATTCTTCACTCCGCTTCTCATTCCGCAGCTACCCGAAAGTCTTCAATTCAATGGCCGAGTCATTGGCCAAATCAGCCTGGCTAGATGTAGAGCTTCTTTTCACCAATCTTTCAGTTTTGGATTTTTGGTCTTCGTCGAGGTATTCGTTTACGACGGTCTTGAAGGCTTCGGAGTTCTTATTCAAAAGTAGCACCGTTTTACCGTGTAGGTAGTCCTCATCGATCGTGCCTGCGGCAGCGTGTTTTACGAGGAGTGGTATGAGTGCCGCATAAAGGGAGATACTTTTCCCCAAATCATTCCTGATCGCCTCAGATTGGGAAAACACAATGACAATTTCAAGTGCTATGCGGAGGTCGATTTTCATGTCCTCACCATCTCCCGCCAAATGTAACAAAAGCTTCTCTAGAATATTTTTAACAACGAGAGATCCAAGGGGGTTCTCTGATTGTCTCAAAAGAGACTTGATGGATTGAATCCCCGCTGAGGCATACTCTGAATCTTCCACCAATCCTAAAATTGCATTAGCTAGAATTCTTGACTCATTGTAATCAAGAGTAATCTCGCTATTTGTGAGCAAAAGAACCACAGTGATGACATGATTATTCTTATTGCTGGTAGAATTGAAAAATCCCTGTTTCCGAAGTATTCCGAAAAATGAATTGACTAGCGAGGCTTTTTCGCTTTCGATCTTGTTGATAGCAAGCTTCAAGTATGGGAGAATAACACCAATTAGGTTGTCATCGTCATGTTCGTAGAACTTTGCGAATAAGGAGAACAAACAGGAGCTGACGTTGAGTTGAGCATCTCCGTGGAAACCGTTTAGCATTGATATGACAGCAGAAAGCAGCTTCTTGAGAATCAACAAGTTTGAGGCGGAGTTGCAAGTCTTCAATGCCACTTGCTGTACAACGTCTTCAGGATCATAATCGTCCTTCAAAAAGGCAAATATACTGAAAAGCGGAAGCATAACGACTCGCAATAGCTCCAACAATTTGTCGGCTCTATCTTCGGTTGTAGCTTTTTCCAGGTAAACTCTGGATAAACTCAGTGCGATATCAATTACCTCTGCTCTGGCTTCTGTCTCCTCCTCGACGAGAACGAGACGGTCAAGCAAATCAACGACTTCACCAAACACCTCATCCGACAAAAGATTGTCAACGAGTTCAGGAATGGTAACAAGGCGCTTCACGGACAGAAGAACCCTTGTTGTATTGTGTGACTTAATCAACGACTCTGTGCATTGACAGAATAAGACAAAGAAGAAGTCTTTGGAGTCATCTTCAAGAAGCTTGGTAACCCTCTCTGGATCTTGTTCAAGCTCAATAGTCAAAACCTCCACAAAGTTTAGCCAACAATCCGTGTAGAGTTCAATCTCACGACTGGAAGGCTGTGTGTAGCGAAGTGTTGAAAGATCGTTCAATGCCAAGATCCATAGAGAGATCAACAACTCAGAATATTTGGCAACAATCGAGCTGAATTCCTCATTTGGATCGTCGGACGTGTTCTGCATGTCGATTCGGACTTCGGCCCAACAGTTCAAAATAGAAAGCTGAATTGCTTTTCTGCTAAATTCAGACATCGCTTCCAAGTAAGTGAACTTTAAGAACTTGTTGGAGGACACTTCCTCTAGAAGACAAATCAAAGTCTTGAGGATTCTTTGCTTCGAATAAAACTTGATCCTAGGCAAGTTAATGAACTTCGAAGAAACACTGATCGCGTTAACAATAAGTTTTGCGTTGCTTTGTGGTCCATAGCACGGAACAAGTGCACTTATAACCTGGGCTTGTTGTTGCTCCAATATGGAGATTCCAGGGTATACTGGGTCTTCGAGATGACCAAAAAGCGTGAGAGCCTTATCAAGCAAAACAACACCCTTCAAATTGATTGCTGGAATTGGGGAAGTAGTTCCAAGAAAAGACATCCGTACAATTTCCTGAATCTTGCTAGTGAGAGAAGACGTGAGCGTCGGGTTCTTTTCAGCTGCAGTCAATATCTGTATGATAATATCATACAAAAACAGACGGAACTCCCAGGTGATTGGTTCATTCTTGTCGTCTGTCTCTTGGCTCTCGTTGACAATATTCCGAACCTCGTCATCCTTCAAGTCAATATTGCCGCTATTCTTCTTCTTTTGCCTTTGCGTGAGTGGTAGCAATTTCACTTGGTAGTTAAGCTCAAGGAAGGGACCAGTAAGTTTTCTAGCCGACAGTTTGAAAAGAGCGTTCACCTGTGAGAACCACACCATTTCGGGCTTTGAATCAACCCAGTACTTAATCAAGGCTATCAACGATGGACATGGATTAAGTTCCATCGCTATCCAAGCCAAGTTTACATTCTCCTTATGCAATGTTGATACACCCACTTTCGTCATCTCAAGGAGACTGCCAAAAGCTAAATCGTAGAGCTCAATGGAGGTCGAGACGGGAAAAATGGACTCGTGACATGGGGACGTTGGTCCCAAAAGCCCGACTCCAACTTTGGCATTAGATTTAACGATCGCCACAGTCTCGAGATGAAACCAGTTAGTGAAACCTTCAATAAAGCACGGATCAAAGATGAGGATCTCTTGGAAGGTGAGAAGTAGACTTTTCACAACGTTGACATATTCATCAGAGTCGCCGCTTCCAATTCCATTAGCAAAAAGGATGAGTAAGTTTCGAATTTTTTGCCTGACTTCGGTATCACAATTCTTGAGCGCAGGACCAAGGGAAGTAACACTATAGGAAACGATCCTCGAATAAGTAGCAAACGAATTGTGACATGATCGAAGATTGACAAGGTATTCATTATCAAGGTTCATGCCGAAATCGTCATTCAAAATGTTTGAATAAACTTGCTCCATCAAAGACTTCACCAAGATCTCGTTACCCAAAGAGTTCTCCAACAAAGTGGCAGCTGCACTAGAAGCGTAATGCTCCATGATTGGATTTGGGTCCTTGATGAGCTGAAGTACAACATCGAGGGTATTAGAATAGCCAGCATGGCTGTACTTGTAGATTTGAGCGAGATACATGAGTACCCTTCCTCTCGCCGAAGGTGCAGATTGTGTCACAATCTCATTGACGTAGCGAGCCACAATACTTTCAACGTCAGCTTTTGAAAGCATTGCTGATGCCATTCCAACTGTTTGCGCATTCAAATTGTTGAGCTGTAGATTGTCCAGATCAATTTTCTCAACTGTGTCGATCAACGCAGTAAGTATTTGCGCATCCATTGAAGTTCCTGATTCACTGTAGTATTTGAGTAATCCATTAAGAGCGAAGGTATCATTCACTTGAATGGCTAACCGTCTCAAAGGGTCCATATTGGTTTGCGTCAAAGATGCTCTGAGCTGCTCGAGAAGCGAGAACTGGATCTTGAAAGTCAAGTTGGGAAAAACGTATTGGAAAAGTTCAATGGACTTATCCACGATTGTGGTGAGTATTTCTGTAGCATGGCTTGTTGAATTCAGCGTGTCTTTGAGAAGAAATGCGGCAGGATCATTATTAAATCCTCGGCAAGATATCTCATCTACCTTTACCTCAAACAGTGTAGGCCATCCCAAAAAATCTTTGTTCGCAGAGTTATTGTCCAGTGTATCAGTACTACCAAAAGCTGTGTTTGGTTGGGGTGTTGATCCCTTAATCGCAGATTTAAGCCCACTTGTGACTCCAAAGTTGTAGTTATAGTCCTCATCTAGCTCAAGGAGGAACGCGTTGTCATGAGGAGCCCTACCTTGTGAAGATTTGCTCTTGCTAGTCTTGTTTTTGTCCTTCTTGGCATCTGTCAAGGGTAAACGAGAGAAGCCTTTCGCGTCAGCAAAAACCCTCGTGAGGAACACGACAAGACTGGAGTTCACATCACGTTTAAGAGAAGGCGCAAGTTTTATAAAGCCCTGTAGAACAACCTTCTTGTTATAAAGTATCAAGCTTATCAAGCGATGTTGTGGTGGTAACAAATTGGACGTGTTGAAGTTTGAAAAAATGAGGTTGCTAACAAGGTTTGGATTGAAATCGCTCTCATTGAAAGGCTGTGCATTAAAAGCAGTCAAAGCACCAATTTCTTCAAATGTAGACTCCAAGTAGGTGAGATAGTTGTATGATTTAACAAGCAAAAATTGAAGCAGCCTTGAAAGCTCATTCGATGATTGAACAGATCCAATATAGTTGTGCAAGCATATAAGGCTTAGGGAGCGCAACATTAGATTATTCATAACCTCGTTGAGTTGAGAAGTGTCGGACAAATTCCCAATATCTGCGTTCACAAATTGTGAAGTCAAAAGATTTTTCCAAAACACCAAGAATTGCGACGAGTTCAACTTGACAAATTCGGATGTCTCATTAAAAGTCACTAAACTAGACATGATAATCCAACATGCAGCGTTGCTGAGAAATTTCTTGTTGGCGCTGCTGCTGTGTTTCAAATTTTGAGTACAGAAACTTAAAATCTTCGCAATAGTTGAGTTCTGTAAAAGGGTCGAGTCCGCCTGTTTGATCAAAGACAGCAACGCAAGAGCGTAGCTGAAAAGTCTTGTAGCTTGAAAACCAGAGACGTTGTTATCCGAAGAAGTGGTTTCTTTTTGAGTCTCCGAATTCAACTCCAGTGTAACCAAATGGAATAGTTGAAGAATCAAACTGTTACTGTGAGACATATTGACATCAGCGTATAGTAAAAGAGATGCGGTAGCACTGTTTCTGATTTGTTCAGAGTCATTGACGAGCAACGATAGAAGAAGGTTGCTGATGTAATCATTTCCCCTGGCAGGAAGTGCACTGTCACCGTCGAGAACAACAGACTGGCTCTCGTTTGCTGATTTAACATCGTTATCCTCTTTAGCACCATCAGGGTGCAGCACATCCAAGGAAGTAAAATTGATCGCGTATGGAATAAGAAGGTTGATTACCCGAAGTAGAAGGGATAACTGATATGGATTTTTGTACGGGGCGATGAGGTTGTTTTCGACCCCCTTAGCTTTCAACTTTTTGCTTGATTTAAAGTTGAAGAGCTTACTCTCGTTACGAGACTTCAACAGTCTTGGGTCGGGAGAAGCAGATCGGGATATTCCCCCTACCTCGGGAGAAGCAGAGAAGCGATTAACGATATATTGAGCCACGACCTCATGAACCGAGGCGCCGCTTTCCTTAATCAAAAACTCCACAATTATCATCCACTGAGATAAAACAAAATTCCACTCAGAAGTTGGAATATGACGGCTGTCATCCAATCCACCGAATTTTGCAAGAATCGTATCGAGAATCGTACAGATGGATGATGCAATATAGCTCCAATCTTGAAATTGCTGTAATTGCAAGTATAAAACCAATGATTCCGCTATTCCTGATCTTTGATTTTTTTGACTGAGGCTGGCGTTGATCAAACCTTCACTATCGTGGATGGAAATAACGTTGTGATCCTTTTTAGCGGGAGAGCCAAGCTCGACATCATTGTCAAGTCTATGAGTGGCTTGATTGCTCCAATTCTTGAAACTAGGAAGTGGGTATGATTCAACAAGGTACTCTATCGCGCTGAATCTTCCGGTATCAACAAAGTTGTGAAGTACATGGGCCAAGAGGATCACAGTCGCGTGTCTTATCAGCGGAAACTGAGAAGAAAAACCAAAATCAAAAACCTTTTTGTGAGTTGCTAAAAGAGTGGTCTGATATTGGTGCTGTTGGGCCATGATGGCTTCAGGTTTCATCTTAGAGCCCGACGTCGACGAAGCTGAAAATTCAAGGAGATGTTCGTAATGAGAGGACGACTGTAAAATGAGAAGACTCTTGAATCCCAAAAGGTAATATTCCACTTGTTTGACAGAGCCAGTATTCGATTCCACCTCATTTTCCCTGCTCCACAATGTGCTCAGCATGATACCCTTCAGGAACAACTTGATCAATTTGGCTTGAAACTTATCATCGATGTCAGCTTTCAGAGCATTTTTCAAGATTGTGTCAAGAAGATATATTATGTTAGCATCAGAAGACGAATTCTTCTTGATCAACTTATAGGTCACAGTAGCTCCAAAATTGAGAAGCGATGTCAAATGATGCGGATAGGTCTCAAAAAGATCAATGAGCAAGACCGAAGCAACTCGACCAGCCGCCGTAAGGTAGCCGGTATCTGTTAGTGTGAGGAAAGGAAGGAGGTCGTTGGCTGTGTCATATATCTTGTTAGTGAGCTTCGCAAGCACAATGATGAGATTCTTTGAGATGAGTTTGAACACATTCAAAGATCCCCTCTGCCTGAGATTATGATCTTCTTCCGAGGCTTTGGACTTGCTCTTAGATTCGACTTCAGTTTGTTTCAGCCCGCAGTAGCTATGGACTAATCGCGTCAAGTTGGTCCATACTTCTTGGTAGTTGATTTCCTTTTCTGCAGCTGCATAATTGTTGAGCTCGAGATACAATTCACTAGCATACTCAAATGCCTCCTCCTTGTCGAAGCTTGCAATGAGTTTTTCGAATTCAACAGGCATTGGCTAGGTTTATAATTGAACAACGATACGCTACTCCAGCCTAAATGGTCAACAAAGTCGCAGGAACCGCAAATGCAGGAAAATTGTATAGCACCAGCGGTTGACTGTCTTTCATTAACTATATACAATCATTATCATCATCATCATGCAAAAAATTTCATCACAGTCTTAATTCTGTTTTTCTTATGACGTGGCTTCTGCAGGTTATCTCTGGAAGGGGGATTATGTAATGAAGTCTTTAAGGGCGGCATCGCCGGACTTCTCAGTTCCTCCCGTAATTTCGAAAGGTTCGCTAACGAAGGAGAGTGTACAAGCTGTCCATGAGTCTCCTTGTCGGAAGGCGGCGTCTGAACTTCGTGATCTGAAACCTGAATTGTTGAGTTTGACTTCAAGCCGAGATAATGGCTCATTTGACCAACTTTTTGTACTATCTCCTCGGACCTGAGATACTGCTCATGGATTTTTCCTCGAGAGCCTGACCTTGGTATATTGCTGTTGGGATGAATGGCTTCTGGAGGTGCGGATGCAAGGAACTCATTCAAATCGAGAATCGTTCCATCAGCTGTAGTGTCCGCCACGGACATAATACTTCTTGCGACACTTTGGCGCTTGGATTTGGGCTTTACTTGCTGCAGATGACGAGCTTTGGGTAGAGGTCGAAGGGTCTCGGATTCAAGATTGGAGATGCGGAGCTTGTGCTGGGCATTGATTTGTTTCTCCGTCTCCAAATCGCTCTCGACTAATGCTAGCTTCTCCAACAAATCGTTATTTAGCAGCTTTGCAAAATGGAGGTTGTTCTCAAGTATCCTGTCGTTCATACCCATATCATCGTTCAGAATCTCGACCTCGACAAGCTTCTGCTTGAGGGCAAGAATCTCTTTCTCCAACTTAACTTTATCTTCAGCCAGTACTTCTTGGATCCTGAAGATTTCTGCATTAGCGTCACTTAATTGTAATGTGAGTTGTTGTAGCTTCTCATCCTTCGCGTTGATCTGCGTAACTAGTAGCTTGTTTTTGTTTTCGAGCTCACTAAGTTCATCCTCGAGAGCCTCCTCCAACTCCTTACTGGATTTTTGAAACTCTAAGAGTTCTTGCTCTAGTTCGAGCATCCTCTCTTGCATGTCATTTTCATCGCTGTAAACGGGGTGAAGTGGCATAAGTGATGTGCTCTAAAAAAGCCTGTGGGTGTTATATTATTTGTTTTGAATTCACGTGATGTCAAAGTGTCTCGAAGCTTAGACGCCTAACGCCAAAGACTGTACTCCTGTTGCTGGGCGTCTTCATCATTAACACCGGTGGAAACTGCAGCAACAGCTGCGTTGGCTATCGATTCTGCCTGTTCAACATTGCGTGCTTTCTCACGTTTGACTAACTGTGGAGTGCGAACCAATCCACTACTATCAGTACCAGTCTCTTCGTAAAGGGCCAGTAGAATTTTCGTTAACACTGTGTGTAATGACAGGTTTTTATGATCCTTCACTTTGCACTTCATTTTTTCAAAAGCGACTTTGAGATCCGTCGTAGTCCAAAGAAGGTCTTTGCTTTTGGCATCCTTTATCCACTCATGATATAAATGTAGAATATATTCCCAGTCGATACTTTCAAGATGTGGGAAATTGGCCTCTAGCAATCTGCTCACTAGCCAAATCTTGGTATCATTGTCCATCAATTCAGTCCTGGTTATCGACTCGCGCCTGAGTAACTTATTCCACTTATATCTGCATTGGATTCTTGAACGCACACCGTTCATCTTTTCACTCACCAAAGTCCAATTAATAGACATAGGCTTATCTCCACTGTCATCGGTCATCATCTCTAAGACGATGCCTTTGAGTGTTCTTTCCTCTTCCTCGGACCATTTGTTCAGTGCTCTGTTCTCGCCACATTTGACGTAGTTTCTCCATCTATCACGGCAATCCTCAGGCATACGGTTCATCGCCTCTCCAATTTTCTTCCAGTTTGTCTCTGAACCCTGAGATAGCTTCTTGAGCAACTCATCCTCTTCAGGAGTCCATTTGGCTCGAATATCAAATATATGGTACTGGCGTCTGACATGCTTATAAATCGATGCTCGAGATCTGTAGGGTAGTACTTTTGTGACACACTCCCAGAAATTATCCTTTGTTCTTTCAGTGGACCACACTCGACGACAGATATCAGCACGAGATAGGTCGTTAAGCCTGCAATAACCATCAACAAATGAATCCATGACATTAATCTCTGTGGAAGAAAACGCACGAGGACCATTGACAGGTATGCTATTTTGTGATTGGTACCACAGTAGAGATTCATTGGCACACAGATCAACCAATGACTCCAAGGAGATATGATCATATTTATCGGGAGCTGTTGGCTGCTCGGACATTGTCTTTGCCTCGGAACTCTTGCGTAGAGGCCTCTTTTGTTTAATTGATGTTCGGGTCCTGCTTTTGGCAGATAATGCTGATGCAGCATGAGCCAACTGATTGATTGCGGCAGACTCGCCATCCGATCTATTCAGGTGTTGGTTGGATGACTGGTTACCCTGGTTTGATGGAAGTGAGAGTTGTTTGGCCAATTCCCCGGCTCCTAATATGGCAGCATGCACTAATTGGTCATGTTCGGATGGCTCTTCCTCTAGTTCAGGAAGATCGGGATCAATATCACTTCCGTTCACGAAACTTCTTCTTCTCTTGGTCTTCTTTGGAGACGGTCTTTCGAACTCAGCTGCAACGTTCTCCTCGAGAAAGCTATCCCATTGGTAATCACCTATGTGAGACATGATCTCTTCATGATTGAGACGACGCTTATTGTTTTCTCCGTTGCCATTCCCCGTATGGCTGGCCTCAATATTACCATGATGACCGTCGCCGCTATTGCGGTTGTGTTCATTTGTATCAGATCCCTCGAGGGTACCACCCACATACCTCATTACCGCAGCTTCAACGGCGTCGTTTAATTGCTGATTTGCTTTATCTTCAAGCGATTCAGTCTCGTTTCTATGTGTGTCAACGTTTTCATCAACGTGGGAGTTCTGATCATTATGATGCTTTTCATTATCATGGTTGTTATGTAGATCATGATGAGTAGGATCACTAATCACATCTTGGTGATCAATATCATCGTGTTTTGAATCTTTTGTTCCGAGGGAAAGAAGGGCTTGTGCACCTCCGATATCTTGCTGCTGCTCCATCTTATTTAGACACCAAAAAACGTCTGCCTGGATTCAAATTAAATGGCTGCAAAATCGGTATGTTATACACTTGATAAGAAGGGGTTACCCGAAAACTTTTTCTCACCAGCGGTTAAGCCCAGCTTCTCGCATTATGCAGTCCGGGGATACCGCCACTTCACTGTAACCGAAATAAATCAGTGAATACACTATTGTCACTGGAGAGTTGATATCGTGTACTCAAGAATTTGAATTGTCTCGATTCATCTATCTCCTTAGCTTCTGTCGAGCTATCTGGATCAAGTATCACGATGAATCATTGTCTATGTTATCGGCTTGACTGGAATTCGTAGATCAATTATGTCCTTCTATGTAATGCAAGTAAATGACAATTAAAGAGCCCTTTCAGTCAAGCAATTGAGTCTTGATGTTTAATGGTATCTGTTGTATGTGTGAGGCTCGCACGACACCAACAACTTATGGTGCTGCACAGCTGTTGATTTTGAGTCCTCAGTAACTACCGCATGTTGAATTACAATGACAACGACCAGACCATTCTGGCGTTCTACGGCTCCTCGGTTCTAGAACCTCGGTCACTTGCCGATTTCAAGAACCAGAAGGATTTACTTCCCCCAGACAACTTGGATCAATTGTCTCCAGAAGAGCTGTGCGTTGTGTTAGCCAACTTCTTGAAGGACGCGGACAATGTAAACGCTTCGGCATATCAATTTGGAGGAGAAGATATGAAGGATCCGTTGACTGGTCAGGACTTGGTGAATCTCTTGTTACGGAAGGGGGCGATCGGCTCAGAGAACGACCTGGCGTTGTATAAGTACGTGGTGTCCTCGCAAATGTTCAATTCCCAATCGTATTTGTCTGTTGTTCATAAAGACACCCCAATGGAGAACCTTGTTGCATCACTTGATATGCTTGACAGAAGCATAAGAAGCCAGACCTCGCAGTTGAAGTCGGTACTCAACGAGAACTATACCAGTTTTGTCGACTGCAAGCAGTATATCGATGATGTACTTGTCTCGTTCAAGGGTTCAAAAACAAGGGCGCAGAAGGAAAGCGAGAAATCCAGAGTCTTTAACCCCAATTCAAGATGGAACAAGAAACTTCAGGCTGGTGAAAACATTTCATCGCAGTTGGAGGAGTCAATTAACAACTTGAACTTGTCGTCCTCCCTCATGATACGTCCTATTATGGAGCACAATGCCAAAGAATCCAAAGTTACAAAGCTCATTGCTTTCATACAAAAGAATAAGTTCTTCTTTGATCTTCCTAAAAACCTTGTGGAATATCTCTCTGTCCACAACCACGACCAATTCATTGACGACTATAACACTTTCTTGAAAGAGAAGGAATACATTTATCATAGGAGAGAGAATGCGTTAAAGAAAGCTCAAAGCACAAATGACGAATCTGAGGTAAAGAAAGTCGAGCAAGAGTATACCCTATATTTCACTGTGCTTCATCGCGTTTTTGGTGAGATCGAAAAGATTGCTGAAGAGTTTCGCAAAAAGGCATTTCGTGATCTTCTATCGATGGACCATGAGGTGGCTGTCCGAGGAAAATCCAATAAGTCGGCTCTGGATATAAAGTTTATCGACCTAGTTGACAAGTTGCATCGCCTCAATAAAGATTCAGAGAAGACTAATCCAATCTTGGACTTTTTGAATGACCAACTCAAAAAGCTTCAAAATGACTTAAGCTATCAGGATGACAAGTTTGAAACGAAGTTTTCTATGATGCAAAAGAAGCTTTTGGACTACATCACAAGTTTGTCCAATCAAAGAGAGGGAGGTTCCAATGTCAGGCACATTGAAGAGAAATTTGACAGCGTCGAAGAGTTTTTCGGTACCTCATCTTCTGTGAAATCCAGTAATGTTGATGAACTGAAGGAAGCCGCAATCGCTGAGATTTTCGGTAGCCCTGATAACCTTGACTTATCCATCATCAATGAAACATGGCTTGTGTTGCTGAACTACATCAAGTACCTCGAGGAATTCTTCACAAATGTCGTACAGAAATTTGTCAAGAACTACGTTCACTACGCCGATCCAAATAATGGTTTCCACGTTGATACTGAGGGTGCATTAAGAACTGCGTTCTTTCAAATGTGCAACAATATGGTAGCTCATGTTGTCAGTATCTTCGAGTCTGAGGCTGATGTTGACCAAATGAAAGTGACTCCTGCCAGCTTCCCCAACTTCCTTCCGCATCATACCAACTCCCTTTCAACGATATTTCACTTAAGTGAGATCAACAGTCGAATTGGAAGGCTTCTTACTAAAGTTGCTACATATGTGGCACAAATCGGTAATACTTCTAAAAGCCTTGATACGAACAAGCAAATAAAACTGCTTAAAGAGTCTTGTGCACTTATCGAGCAAAGAATTCTAGAAGCCATTTGTGCCACTTGGGTCAATGACTGCTCACAATTTTATGATCTCGAAAATTGGGACAAATATAAAATTGACGGCAATTCAAAGGCCACGGTCTACACCAAGCTGATGCAGGTCATGCAATACTACGAGAGGTACGTCCTCCGTAGATTGTCAATTTTGGTTTTTGACAGGAGTCACATTGGTGATAGCGATATCAAGGTTGTTGCTGCCTATCCAAGTAAACGAACGTTGGTGAGTCTTGAAATTCAATTCATACGCAGCATCAATGTATTGATGGATTCTATCATGAAGAAGTTTACTTCAACTAAAGCAGAGTTTAATGCAGTGTACAACACTGCCAACCATGACATTGATAAAGACATCTATAAAATCATGACCATGAATAATTTCCAGATTCTTGGTGATGTGATGTTTCCATCTTTGATAAGAAGGTTCGATCAGCTTTTCCAGAAGGATTTGCACAAACAAAACTTGAAACTCTACGCAGATCTTGATAAAGTTAAGATTACTGTCTTGGATGAGATCAGTGAAAATGAGAAGGCCTGGATTGAGAACAAGGTTAAAGACCATTTTGAAAGTTTGGAGAAAAAAGCATTTCAAGAAAACTTTCATGTTGATCCTTTCGTGTATGAGTGTTTAATGCACTTTGTCAAGCTTGTCTACATTGTGAAGCCCATTACTGCGGAGCAAATTTTCAACAATATGGTTCACGAACTTCAAAATCATTTCTTGAAGCAGTTTACCATTTCCATCAGGGAAGTGAAACAGAAGCAACACATCATCGTTCGGATTTTGGGTAACCTCAGGCTAGATTTGGACTACTTCATAGATGTTTTTGAAGCCAGTGATAGTCTCAGACTTGATGATTACTCCCTTTCATTGGGGCGTGTTGCCGTGAACGAGATAAAAGAATGTGAGAACATTTTCACAGACCTCGACTACACGGACAATGATATTGAACAGGCACTTAACCAAGCTGTTCACCAAAGCCAGAAGGAGTTTGCTTGTTTTGTATGAATACTGCTACAATAGATATGTTTAAATGATATATTAACGACCCAACTAATTAAAGTGACCCCCCATCCTCCCGAAATGATAAAGTCTTTAAGGTAGCCGCTAACAGAATGCAGGGAAATTTCAGCATCAACAACTCAATACACTTTCTATATTGTGTGTGTGTGTGTGTGTGTGTGTTAAGAAAGTGTAATGAGTATCTTATGATATCTGATAAAACCCTCATTTAAATTATTGACTGGAAGTCTCCACAGTTTTTTCCTCGACCTTGTGAACAGAGTCGTCCTTACCAGTCTTGGATACGTCAGAAGATGATTCTCTGTCGACTTCTCTAACACCGAAATCATGTCTCTTGACTTTCTCGAATAATTCTTCTTGCTCTTTCTTCGACAACTCGTTCTTCTTCTTGCCCTTAATGTGGTACATTGGGTTGAGCTCTCTGAGGGTGAGGTTCTTACAGAATGGAAGGTGCCCACGCTTTTCCTCAAACATCATCAAACCCAAAACAACAATCATGAAGATCCAGTAAACGTTGTAAGAAATCACAGAACCGTAAGTGGCAGAGTTTTGCCAACCCAATAAAGCGTTGAAAACATCCCAACCGTTGTCAAGCTCAGGGTTGCAGCAGTTAACATGCCAGACGGATTTCGAAATGTCGTAAGAGCCTGGGCCTGAACCACTCTCAGAAGCGTCACCACCAGTCTTTTGATTGTAAATCTGAGTCTCAAAGTACCACACACCTCTGGAGAATAAACCAGCGGAGATCAAATACAAGATACATGTGGAAAGAATCAAACAGACCTGCAAAGATGCAGTGGATCCGAAGTAGTAAAGCAAAACACCAACAGTGACACCAGCGATCAATCCACAAATGACAGGAAGTGGGAAGGCAGCAGCACCAGTGTGGTCAGACAAGCCGACACCACCAACAAACACAACAGCCTCCAAACCTTCTCTTAAACAAGTGATGAAGGGCAAGACAAACATACAGTATTTGGTGGTCAAGCGACCAAGCCTGAATCTATCCTTCGACACTGCTGGCTCCTTCACCAAAGCCTGGGCAATCTTTGTTCTCCACTTCTCCTTCATCTTGTTAATTCTCAACATGGCAATACCCATGATGGTAATCAAGATAGTAGCGATCATACAAAAGGTGCCCTCCCAAATTTCTTCGGATTTGCCCCAAATGTCATGGCCAAGAGTATAGAAAACAGCAATGAAAGCACATCCAATGCACAAACATATAAAAACACCTAGAATGGAGCCAACCCAAACTTGAAGTCTGAGTTTCTTGTAGATAGCTTGATCCTGGTCAGGTCCTCCTAAGCCCTGCTTGAGGAAGGCCAAAAGGACCGAAACCACAAGCACAGCTTCCAAGGACTCTCGAAAGACCACAAAGAAGACTTGAACGTTGAAGACGTTTGTCATTTCTGGAGGGGGTGAAGAGCAAAACTAGAGATTTGGGCGGACATTTATACTACGAGAAATCGCCGGATCGAGATTTGTGGTGACGCTGGAAAAGTACAAAACTCAGGGCCGTAAGCAGTTTTACGTCGAGTGAGGCGGGCTTGCATGGGCGTGGGACCATTCACTGACGCACAAAATGTGAGGTGAAGTTTATGCACTAGAGTGAAGTGGGAGCCAATACAGGCACTGCGGCACTAAGAGACATGTGCAAGCGGCAGGAAAATTACACGAACCCCTCTTAGTGAAACTTGGTCGCTGATGGAAAAAATGTTCTTCTAACTATTGAGCTCTCTCTCATTTCCCGTCGTTTTTCGTGAACTTCAAGGCTTGGTACGCAAGTCTAATGCCAGAAATGTGTCAAGGACGTAAAAAAGTGTCAAGGGTGGTCTTGGCGAGCTTTCACCTGCACCCAGAAAGATGCCTCAACCCACGGACAGGACAAGGCGGACTGCGGCCGGAAGTTTACAATCCTTGATTGTATATCAAGTTTGGGCAAGTCGAGCGTATGCTTGCATTCGCTGATGGTCCGTTTTTTTCTAGAAGCTGCGGCCCATTTCAGCCAATGGCATATGTTAAGCAAGCGAGATAAGGGAACATGAAATTCATCTCACCGAGATAAGCGGGCGACAATGCGCATTATCTGATTTCATCTCTTTTTCAAGTGCGCATTCTGCCTCACGACGCTAAACTGGTGCATAACCGCCGGTTACAGAGTACGAGGTTTGTGGTGTTTCAGGGCAGTGAGGTGCATTTTTCATGCGGTGTTCTTTCAAGCGGACCAGCAGGGACATGCGAAGGGCCGCCCAGTCGAATGTAGCCAATCCCAGACAGGAAGGCCCAGCAACGTGCAATTTCCCTCTGACTTTCGAGGGTCATGGTGTCGCTGAAATAGTAAAGTCCACCGTAGTTGTTAAACAGGCATTTCGAAATGGCTCTCATAAATCTTGAACACACTTGTAACTTGTTTTGTTTCTTTCTCAAACCAACCCTTTTCCCACCATCAGATGTCCAATCAAGAGGGTGCCAATCTAAACGAGCTAGAGGCACTAACTGCCGGAACCGAGCAGTTCATGTTCCCGGATAGTGGAGGTCCCTCGGGTAATGAAAACGGTTTTCCGGAATCACAAAATGGTCCTCGTGTTGAACCACTATCAAGGCAGCCTAAGCCCCCAGCGCAATATGCCATGCAACCATTAGCCAACCGAACATCACCTCCGGGTACGGTTATTGCAGACGCTGCTAATAACATGTATGTGATTGATCAAAACGGATATGCGGTCCCCATGAGGCCTGTGCAGCTCCGTAAGCCTCAAACTCCTACCGAGCATATCCCAAAGGAGATACCCCTGCCCCCTGGGGCTCGTAAGAAAAGGGGCTTTTACAAAGCACCGTCTAGGCTGGGTGATATCCCTAAGGCAAGCAACCTCATGCAATACCACTCGGAGGTGATGCAGGCTGTTCGGTACGACCGGTTCTACCAGGGTTGTACTACCAACCGATACGGCTCACTGGAGGCCTTGAGTATTCAGAATTCTAGCTCCAATACCAGCAGAGGCTCTAACGCATCCACAAAGCTGAATACTCTGGTGGACCGAAGATCTAGGGAATGGCTGCAAAATGATCGAACCAGGCGAGACTTGCGAAATGGGAAGCCCCCTGAGCAACTCGCAATAGCTCAGCCTCCTATCCTGACGGATGCAACTTCGGATCCGTCAAATTCTTCGGGCCGTTCTTCTCTGTCCGTCACTTCATATTCCACCTCGTCTAGAGAGGAACCAGGCGGTGACAAGGATGTAGCGAAGCCTACCAACAATCCTGAGGAGAGTTCGAAAAATGCAGACAAGAACTCAAAGAAGAAAAAATCGAAACGACCATCAAAGATCTCTGCTAAATAAATCACCCAGAAACGAATTTATCTATAACTGTTCTTCTTTGTCGCTGCGATGATAACTCGCACAGAAAAAAGTGAGATATAGAGTAGAGCTCAATCATTCTCAGGCATGCCCACTGGTGAGGAACGCTTGGCAGAAATCTCGAAGGAGGAAGAGGATGTCTTTGTTTCGGAGTCTCGAGAGCTTTACGTGGAGCTCACAAGCATTTTGAAGGTGCAACCCAAGATGGAGTCCAGTGTGTTTCCCATCTCAAGGAACTCTCCTGTGGAAAAGCATATCCAAGGTGCAATTGCCAGCTTAAATACGAACAAGCTTGCCTTGTTGACAGCAAGGGGTAATCAAGTGAAGAAGCTTGTTGCCATTGTGGAACAAATCAAACAGAATGGCCCTAAAGATATAAAGCAGCTCAACAGGCTCACCCTCCTGCCGTCCCTTATAAATCCCAGTTACAGTTCCAAGCACAGCATAGCGAACATACAAGCGTTCTTTGGTGATGAAGTGGAAATGGAAGACCAGGAAAAGTCCGCCAGGAAGGAAATCCAAGGCCACAAGGTCTACGATCTACCGTGTTTGAACATACTACTTGTGAGAAAGGCCATCGAGGTCCAAACATCAAAAGTTCCTGAATGGACAATTCAATAGAGAGGTTGGAAAGATATGAGAGTGACATAATTATGGCATCATGGACTTCATCAAATGCCATGCTGCCTGGCGAGATCTGACGAGGTGATGTTCAGTGAGACCTGCACGGATGTCAGTGCCAGCCAATCGTCTGCGGGCATTTCGCACCATAGTCAAAAAATCGTAAGTTTCATCAACGCTCAATCTCACTACATCAAACTCGTTCATTTCAGCAAACATGGCTTTGGATTTAGAAAATTTCAAGTTCGACACCCCTCAGTTCGACCCAAGATTCCCATTCACCAACCAGACGAAGCACTGTGCCCAGAACTACGTCGACTACCACAAGTGTGTGAACGTCAAAGGTGAGGAATTCGAGCCATGCCAGATCTTCTTCAAGACTTTCACCTCCTTGTGCCCAGTCGACTGGGTCGGTAAGTGGGATGACCAGAGAGAGGCTGGCAAGTTCCCAATCAAACTTGATTAAAGCATAAGTTACGCATACATACTACATAAACGGTGATGATAATTGTCTGTAAGTCCTATTGACATTTTAAATATAGTTTGAGCTCACCAGAACTCTTCCTCCACCCAATTTTCATTGCGGAATTCGTTGCTACTGGCTCGAAGATTCTCCTCAGAGAACATGCTAGCGTAAGGGTCTTTGTTGAATTCCTTCTGTTGCTCATACAGCTTAGCTGTCTCCTTCTCTTTCTGTTCCTGTTGCCTTTGTAGTTCCTTCTTGTCTCTGGCCCATTGCTTGAGGACCTCATCTTGCTGTTTAGCAAATTCCTCCGTGCTCATCTCTGTCTTCGTCTTATTGAGTTTGTTGATGATGGCATTCTCCTTCTTTGAAATATGAACTCGCTTCACTTTTTGGGGATTGACGAAAGTCACAGTACCAATGTCCATGGACCCGTCTGACCTTAGATTGTCCACCGGCGTGTATATCACAGATATGTTGTTGAGCTTATTGGCCTTGATCGAGTTGGCTTTCGTGAGCTGGCCGATCTGACTAAGGAGATCTTCATTGAGCTTGAGGTCTTCGAACTTTTGACTTTGTTCGTCAGCACTAAGCTGGATATATAAATGAGCAGAACTATGCTTATCGACGTGGAACCAGAGGTTCTTGGGGTGCGATTTCTTCAAAAGGGTATCATTCTCCACTTTGTCTCTCCCCATGTAAATGGTGTACTCTGAAGCCTCGTCTGAGATAGCAAAGTCGTCAAAATCGGACTTGACGGCTGCTTTGAAGAAGTAAACCATGGTGGTGTAGTGAGATGTCTCAAGAGCGTCTGCAGTGCGATCAAGTAGGTCTCATCGCGTGGTTGCAAAATGAAGATGTCGTGAGCACAGTGCTAAGCCAAAAAGACATTTACGCAAAAAGTTTCAATTTATTACATCGTCGTTTTCCTGTCAATCTATAAGTCCAAGATATCTGTTGGAATTGTCTACGCACACTCAAAATCGTACAGCAACGGAACCCTGCCGTTCTCGTCAAAGCAACTGCTCCACTTGTATGCGGAATACGTCGCTAATCTCCTTTTGAAAGAGCCTCGAACCATACTTGAACCCTCGTTACCAATTGACACCATCAACGTGAGCGATTGGGATCGACATCAGGAGACTCGCGGAAGCCATGGACTGAGATCCTCTGACGAATCCAGCACTGGTTTCACGGCAATTTCCCAAAAGAATCTCAGCCATTCACCCAATACACTGACCCACGATACAAATGTTTTTCAATTGTTCTACGTGCGGAACTCTTTGGCTCTTGCCAAGGCTAGCCCAAGAGGGTTAGCTGCAAAGATCCCTCTGAAACAAGCACCTCGTCTCTGTGTTTTGGCTAGGAACGCTTCTTGACGACGCACGCTGACGTCCTATGTTTGCATTCACCAAAGCGCGCTCCACAGGCACCCTCTACCCACCTTGAACCTACCTCTATCTAATCAAGCAACTTCATTTGTCGAATTATTACGGTTTCAATCACGATTACTTCGATGAATTTACACAATGCTTTTTTCGAAGGCGTGTTGACATCTGTATGGAATCCAGAGAGCGTCAAGAGAACACGCGACCTGCATGTGCCTTCTCACGGTTACCCCTTTAGGCAAGGACCTCCAGCCTTCTTTGCCTTATAAGGTAGAAACTTCTGGCTAGTCCAGGGGACCCCATTTTCAAGAAAAGCCGTCACTTACTCACTTTAGTCACTCCTTGCTATCATTCCTTCTTTTCAAAGCACCATTCACGAATCGAAGAATCTCCCGGCTTTCGCTTCCATTATTCACAATGATCTCCGAATCACTCTTGGAGTTTGAAGAATCACTTTCTCAAGTGTCCCCTTCAAAGCAGCTCTTACTAGATCATTTGGATGTCCAGAGCGAACTCAACAGATACACAGATGGCACACCCCTTAGTGATGAAATTACGGAAGAGTCTTTCGATGCCATCTTCGAGAACCACCTGTACTGGTTGGACAACCTCACCTGCTGTGACAGATGTGGGCACCCGTTATCTGAAATGAACTCCAGCTGTTGTGCTCGTTTCATTCAAACCCACCGTCGAGGCTGCAGCTCTGAAACCGAAAAGAATTACTGGCTTGCATTCTTGCAGAATCCATACAAAACTATATTGATGTTGCCAAACTACACACTCATGGTATTCTTACAAAAGGGTATTCCGTTTCAGCTCCGTCCCATGATTTGGCAGAAACTCATTACAGTAAATCAGGAGAACCATGGCTTTATACCTAACCTGTGCTCTATGCTATACAAAAACTTCCAGCACTCTTACAATGCTGGTATAGCGAAGCAGATAAACAAGGACTTGAGCAGAACTTTCCCCAATCTCGCGTTTTTTGAGCAGGGCGATACCATCAAATCGTTACAAACCGTGCTTAACGTTTATGCCAACTACGACCTCGAGCTTGGATATTGTCAGGGCCTACTCTTTTTGGTGGGGACCTTGTACAGCCAGTTAAGGGACGAAGAGCTTACTTTCCACGCGTTGTGCAAGGTCATGGATTCAGAACCTGAATTGAGGCAAATCTTCATACCTTCCACAATGTCATCCACCTTAGAGAAATGGTATCAGCAATTCATGACCATCCTCGAAAGCATTGATCCAAAATTATCATCACATTTAGCGAATTTCTGTGACTGCAAGGTATTTTTGTACCAATGGTGGTTGTCATTTTCTCTCATTCATGCTCCAGATTTGTCTATCAACAATAAGGTTGTTGACTTTTGCCTCATTGAAGGGTGGAAGGTTGGTTCTTTTAAAATATCCATTGGCTTGTTGCTCAAGAACAAGCCTATTCTTATGAGCTTCGATGAGGGTGATGAGGAGGTGGTCTACCAGCATCTTTTAAATGGTTCCAAATGGGGCAATGCAATCAACAGCTTGCCATCTTTTTTCGGCGATTTGTTGCTTTCTTGGGACTACAAGAAATTTGCAACTCTTGCTCAGCCATGTTCCTCATCTGTGGGTCCAACACACAAAAGCGCCCACCTCAAGAGGAAGAAGACGCATAAAAGAAACATCTCTGTTATGGAGAAGCTTAAAAACTTTTCCATCAGCACATCTCAAGAGCTCACTCCACTCACGACCTCGCTGGCCGAGTCCATTGGATCGGAGTCCTCAACAGATTTGTCGTTTGACAAGCTGACGCACACTGCTAATTCTGCCCTGTCTGTGTTCTCGGGCTCAATGAAAGCAGATCTTGAGTCTGTCTATTCAGATCTAAGCTCTTGTTCATCTGAACAAAACAAGTTATTTGTTGACGTCCCAAGAACCACGATGCATAAGAAAGCTTTGAGTGATCTAGGGCCGATAGGAATGGAAGGCACTTTTGATGACCTCGTTCTGGAGAACCAGATGCTCAAATTTTATTTGAGAAAGGCAATGGAGCATATTGATGATGAGTCTGTGAAGACTGAAATTAGTCAAGCATTGGATTGGTAGGCATTTATATAGGGCGTGAATGGAAAAGCATAAATTGTACTTTGCGACGCTGCCGTAGATATTGTAAGCGGGGCTATAATCAGATTTTCACATCCTACTTATTCGGCTGTCTATTTCGTAAGGTTTTGATAAAACCCAATTTTTATAAATCCCAATTTTATCAGGAATTGTAAGGTCTCTAGATTTATAAAGAAAACTCGTGAATTCGCAGCCATATTGCACCATTGAAGAACTATTCACCAACTTGATAAAAACATGGAAATCATCAAATCATGATTATCCGGTAATATGGCCATAAAAAGAATCCCGTAATATTAAATGGGTTATTGTCAATAATAATTTCTGATCTACAATGGTTAGTTCACTTTGAGGCGAGAGCAGGGTTGTCTTCAATGCCGGGTAACCCCACCGCGAACCTCACTCGCCAAAAATTTGTGGTAAGTCTTATAATACATACATCAAAGGCATATTAAACACCCACTCCATCGACAGTAGGTTCTTCTAGGAACTGAATACATTTAATCTTGCCATACTGACATTATAGTCGTTGGAATCAATTGCGAGTAAACCTCACAATCCAAAATTTATATCACCTTGTCTTGGCGAATTCAGTGTACTAGATCAAGCACAGCTACACTGGCCCCAGCTGAGACAAATCGTCAACCAGAACAGTGACTTCGCAAACGACAAGAGACCCCGGGGCCAAAGGCCAAAATCAAACGTCTTCGCTGTCCACTGAACCTGTCGAACGCAAAGCAAGAACCGAGAGAAACAAGGAGGTCTTAGAGGTTACTTTTTTGCAGATTGGAATCTTACTTACCACTGCTGAGCACTCCAATTGGCAGTCGAATCTCAAACAGATAAACTATATCATCAAACAAGAGTCGGACTCCGTGTACTTGCGAACATATTTATACGAGAGGGTCTTTAAACTAGCATTTGCCAAACCTTTTAGCTCGACCATCGAACCACAGGAGCATATTGCTGCATCTTTTATCGATCGTCTTCTTGTTGACCCAGATTCCCGCTTTTATTTGTCATTAATTGCCGGAACAGTCGAGAATTTTTCACACTTCGACGTATTCACATTCGTATCGAGACATCACTTTGATCCCGTTAGCGAATTCGCGCTTGTTGTTCAATTTGCAAATCCCGCTCAGAGCAACAGAATAAACCAGTACGTCTCGGACAAGTTATTTGTTGTTTCAGAACTTGTGAACGCCAGAACCACCGAAGAAGATAAAACTTGGCAAAATCTTCTTCTCTACAGTGTTTTAGCTAACGACAACGTCCCGTTCCTCCACAAAGTTTTAACTCTCGGATACTTCGACGCTTACGAACTGGGTATTCCAGCCGTAACAGAATTTTTGAAAACAGTCTTAGAAATGTCTTTTAAAGATCTTTTGATAGAAATTGGTGCTGAGAATCTCATCCCGAGAAAACTCTTATCATCACTTCTAAATCTCAAGCCCTCAGAACTTGATAACAGCGTGGCCCTTTTACTTGCTGAGGTATTAATTCCTG